TACTATTACTAATGAATTAACGACATTACATTAAACAAGTTATTCATTAACTACTATTACTAATGAATTAACGACATGACATTAACCAAGTTATTCATTAACTACTATTACTAACGAATTAACCTTGATTAATTTAGTGTCGTTAATTCATTAGTAATAGTAGTTAATGAGTAACTTGATTAATTTAATGTCGTTAGTTCGTTAGTAATAGTAGTTAATGAATAACTTGATTAATGTCATGTCGTTAATTCATTAGTAATAGTAGTTAATGAATAACTTGTTTAATTTAATGTCGTTAATTCATTAGTAATAGTAGTTAATGAGTAACTTGGTTAATTTCATGTCGTTAATTCGTTAGTAATAGTAGTTAATGAGTAGCTTGTTTAATTTAATGTCGTTAATTCGTTAGTAATAGTAGTTAATGAATAACTTGGTTAATGTAATGTTTTATTCATTAACTACTATTACTAATGAATTAACGACATTAAATTAATCAAGTTATTCATTAACTACTATTACTAACGAACTAACGACACTAAATTAATCAAGTTATTCATTAACTACTATTACTAATGAATTAACGACATTAAATTAATCAAGTTACTCATTAACTACTATTACTGATTAATTAACGACATTAAATTAATCAAGTTACTCATTAACTACTATTACTGATTAATTAACGACATTAAATAGGGATCCTTGTGTTAACGATTGAGTTTCCTTGGATTGTTTTTTTCAGTTCTTACACTTCCTGTAAAATAGCTGATTTGTTTTAAGTGAAACGCATCGATGTCTTAAACAAACCAACATGTAAGATGCGTAATACTTGTTTCAAATAACACACTTATTAAGTATGCTAGTTTTCATAGCTGCGCTAGCTTTTGGTGTTAAACTCTGTAATATAAAATATTTGTTTATCGAGTATTAATGTAATGTCTCAAGACAAATTGCCACTCCCGGGTTCGAAGGCCCTTTAAATGGTGAGATACAAAATAATAGCATCATAAGTGCGGCCAAAACAACCTGTTGCAGGACGCACTGTGTGTTATTAACAGGAGTGATACCTTAGCGATTTTCCACCTTCTGTATTACGAACTGTAGTAATCCAAACTATCACATATTTTCAGTGGATGTGCTCTACTGGACTCTTACTTCACATACCAAATTTCTAGGTAATATATTAGGAAATATCTGAGATATAACATCCCCAATTTTGATTTTTTTTCCTGTTTTTTTTCTTCGCACCAAAAGAACGGAAACTTTATTTGATAGAAAAACATACTTAACTTTCTTGGATTTTTTTTCAACAAATTTGATACACTAATAGATCTTTACAACCTACAATTATGAGTTTCATTTGGTGTAAATATAAGCTACATGTGCAGAGTTATTCAATAAAAACCGCTCAAATTTGACGAAACTGTTGCGCATGCCTACGCAAAAAGTAACGTGAGCTATCGGTCTAACATTTTTGACTACAGCTTTACCTAAGAGTAAGAGTGGAACGCTTTTAGATTTTGTCATTCGAATTAAAGACGGCTGATTTAGAGCAGCAAAACTATAGGGTGAAAGAACGTGCAGATACATAAGTATTGGTTAGGCCAAGCAAACTATATTAGCAGTTTCTACCAGTTTCAAGTTTTAAAAGAATCATACGGGTGGACGGTTATTATTGATTGCCAACTTTTCAGAACAAATTTACTAAGTTTTATGTAATTATCCTAATTAAACAGCGTTTAGCGTCACGTGATATTAACTTAAGCAATTAGCATAAATAATGATGCTTGATACGGCTGTATCGATTGCATGAGGGTGATGACAAGAAACTGTTAATCTAAATTTTATGGCGTTACTATAAATGAAGCTATTAACACTGTTTTAGAGAAGAAAAACTACCACCATATATTTTAAAGTATCTGGTTGGTTCTGTAAAGTATAGGTCTGTTCCGAATAATAGGGCTGTGATCCCAAAGCTAATGTGGGTTACTATAGAGAGTTAGTTTCTTGCTTGCTGTGGTTTGTTGGTGTGTATTGACAAGAAGTCATGATATCTAAT